CCAGTATCCTGAAGGAACAAATGGCACATGAACTAATTATTGGTCACCAGCAACCATGGGATTGAATTTCGTGATGTTGCTCTACTGCCTTATGGATTAGACCTTTAGGTCGAAGGTTCCGGATGTGGCCCCATAAGAAAACCACCTGCTTCGATCTGAGCACCCGAGTAGTATCATAGCCCACACACAAATCAAGTGATTTGTATGGCTCATATCTATTCGATGCCTCTTTATACCAATATTTATATGTTCAAATAAATATAATAATCATAGAAATGATAATTCACGTTAGAATTAGAAAAAGTACTTTATGAAAATATTTCATTTTTTACCAAATCACTCTCCAAGTATCCAGAAATGAACTTTTAATAAAATTGAAATTTAGTTTTTTTTTTCATTCTTACAGGAAATGTAACTTGCCTTCATATATATATATATTCTATTCTTCCTTCGCTTACAATAAGTTACACTTCAAATGTACACGTTTACAATGTACAAAAAAACTCGAAAATAAATGAAACAACTTGATAGTCAGTCAGTCAATCAGTAAATGAATAATGAAACAAGATACTAAACATTAAAGATGAGAACGACACAAACAAAAACAAAAAAATAAATAAAGAATCATGCAAACAATTAAACCTATATATATATATATATATATATATATATATATATATATATAGAGAGAGAGAGAGAGAGAGAGAGAGAGAAAGAAATTACATGAATTCCTATCTATCTTTCTACATTGTCAATACGATAGTGTAATTATTTTTTTTCTGTTTTAATTCGAATAGAAAAACAAAATTTCCTGTTCTCATAAAATTTATTGTTCGTTTTCTTTTTTTCTCCATATTATATTATTATTATTACTATTAGATTCAAACACTTGAATCTTTAGTTAACTTCAACTACCTATATTGTTATTTGTATTAAACAATAAAACATAGAGAGGGGGGAGGGATGAAGATAGTGCGAAAAGAGACATACAAAATTGTTTGGAATAGTTTGTATTTAGTCTGACGGAAATGGGTGTATATAATATCTTTTTATAGAAGATAAAAAAAACAAAAAAATTTCGTACCTATCATAAAATGTCTCTCTCTCTCCCTATTTACTTGTCTCTCTGTGTCTAACCTCCATATATTTATCTTTTTTCCCTACTGAACATATCTATATGATTTTTCAACATTAACCGGATTTTCGTGTTGAAATAAACGAACTTCATTATATGTATGTAGGAGATAGAGAAGATAATGTAAAGTATAAAGTATAGAAAACAATGGTCTTTTGATGAATGAATTTTTAACCAACAATAAACAGATACATACATTAATTGAAGATATGTTGTTATTTAACTTCAGATTATTGTTTTTTTTTTTGGTTTTACAAGTTTTTCACCAGAATTCCTTTAAATCGAACATTCATTTTAGTTTTCTGAATAGGAAATCTAATTTAGAATCAAGATGAATTCACTTGGTGTTGTTATACTTGTATCTTCCTATTGTTATTTAAGACTGCAATTGATCAGTCTCATGTTGGCATATGTGCATCTTGTGTGGATTGCCTCAATATATAACCTTAAGTCACAAGTTTTTTTTTAAAGCAAAGATGGATAGTGGCTAGCAGTGTAATCTAGGACGCGCGTTTCATTCTATTTGGGACTCGCCAGCTGGTTTTATTTCATAAAGCTCTGGATAAGTAATGTAGGTCAATGCCCTCAGGGTTACTGAACAATACTGTGTATTGTAGAAAATGGATATGTATTAACTTTTAGACTTCGATTAAATATGTCATTGGAATAAATAGTCAGAATAAAAGTGAATTACTACGTTTTTATGTATGAAGTGACATTTTCTTATCGTAATTCTAACCAATGTACAAAAGATTATGATGGTTTGTTTGACACTGTAGTGGTGATTTAACGTTGATTAATATTTCGCTTTAATACATCAATGATTTGCTTCTACGCATACTGTTTGGAAATATTCCTTATCTTTCTCACTCCTTTAATCGTTTCACCTTTTGCTAAACACAGCAGTTTAGATTTAAGCAACAGCTACCAATAACTAAAAACGTTTCTTTCCAAAATTTTCAAGACATCGAAAATTACATTTTTGAGAAGAGAATCATTGTGGTACCTTAGTGACTAGTTTCTTAGTTTTAAGGATTGAAAACTTGCATTTTTTGGAGTCATAGTTGAATTATTGTCCTGTAATAATTAGATGGAATCTGCAAGAGAAAATTTGGTATTTAATTTATTGTTTTATCTAATTGCTGAAGGTTTTGGAAAAAAATTCCCCTCAAATAGGCAAACGAATTCTTATTCCAGTAAAATAAACTATTTGGTAAGGCAATCTAAGAAACTTACCTAATGTTAAGGATTGACAAAGTACATTTCATACTGCCAGTCACAACGTAGAACTGTAGAAAAGAAATACCCCTTCGTTGACTAATATTATCTACTGAATTTAAATCAGTCAGTAGTCTTGTTATTGTTGAACATGAGACTCAACTCTGGTCACATTTCTCCAACGGAATCTTCATCCAAACTGGTTCTACGAGAAGTAGGACAAGAAATTTGTACATACCGAAGTCTTATACAACTCACCAAGTCACTCTTGGTCTTTACGTTCAAGAGTAATAATTTCAATACCCTATCTCACCGTGACCTCAACCTCTTTAATTTAGCTGTTTTGATTCTTAATTTTGTCAAATGGATAATTATCTTAGACATCTCTTTCCCGTATTTCATTTCTTTTTCCATTACCTTTCGGATGCCCCATAACTTCGGTAGCAGTCAATGTCTGTTTGAGCTGTGTAGATAGCTGAAGACAATTCGGTTTGGGTCTTCGCGATTATCGTAACCAATGGTTGGAGAATTTGGATGATACAGATCAAAATCGGATACAATGGGGTACATAAATTTTTCGCTTAAAGCTTGAGTTTTAAAATTATCTGATTCTTTGTATTCCCCCAATTCATTGTTTCTTCTCTAATCATAATATCAGTAGGTAATCTTTTCTATAATCATTCATACTATTTCTTCTTCTGCTACTACTACTACTCAACGATTTGTTTGATAATTTGTCATTTTACTAATACGTTATGACCACATGAACCGACGCATATATATGGCAAATTTCAGGTTGAGTATCATTATATGATTATGTTAAACCTCAAAATTATCTGTTCATAACTGATCCAATGATAAAAATTATTTTCTGTCATTACTTTTTAGTAATTACGTAAATTTATTTTGACACCAGAGATTTCTGATTAACTTTTATTATATTTGTCAACGATGCCACTATTTTCTGCTGAGATCGTGAACCGATTGATGTTAGACCACCATTGGAAACCTGGAAGCACTGGACGACCGTTTCGTCCTATTGTGGGACTCCTCGGCAGTGCGCATCCACAACCCCGCCGGCGAGATTCGAACCCAGGGTCTTCAATCTCGCGAGCGAACGCTTAAAACTTAGACCACTGAGTCGGCGCAATTTCTTGGATTGGTTGAGGTTAGACATTAACACGGTTGGATACCGACTCAGCGGTAAAGAGGTTAAGCGTTCGCGCGCGAGACTGAATACCCTGGTTTCAAATCCCGCGAGCGGGATTTTGGACGAGTACTGTTGAGTCCCACAATAGGACGAAACGGTCGTCCAGTGCTTCCAGGTTTCCAATGGTGGTCTAACATCAATCGGCTCACGATTTCAATCAAAAACTTAATAATCACCACAACCCTATACTGATATTTTCTATTTCATTATAGATTACTGTGTGTAAAATTAATTATTGAATATAGATTCTACAGCTTTAGTAAATGATATGAACGAAAAGCAAACTTTTTTTCGATGAACTGTTTTTTTATTTGCTGAATGATGCAGTGGGCTTTTTTCGTTATTTTAATTCAACTCGTTAAATGATGATCAAGTATCTAGAAAACACTAATACAAAAAAGAACCCAGATTAGTAGACTACGTCAATCAACTTTCTTGTAAGGGAATAAAAACTATACTAGTCACACAAAAGTATATACACATATTACTCCTTCTTTACAATTGATACATAAGTTAACACTGCTATCTTGATAACGCCATTTAGCGCTAAATTCTAACGATTAAGTCGTAATGTAGCCAGTAGTCAAAAGAACTGGACATTGCATGCACGATGCTGAGATGTAAAGTGGTGGTTGGAGGTGATCGACAGGAAACCCTGAACCTAGGTCCCGATCAGCTCTACGAAGGACTTGACATACATGACATAGATAACTGCCTAGTGAACAAATGGCGTATGAACCAATCGTTGGTCACCGGCTACCATGGGACTGCATCTCCTCACGATGCTCCACTGCCTTGTGGATCAGGTCTTCAGGTCAAAGGCTCGGGGTGTGGCCCCCTAAGAAAACCACCTACTTCGGTTTGGGCACCCGGGCAGTATCACAGCCCTCACACATATCCAATGAGATCTGTGTGGCGCATATGTATTTGGTGCATTCTTGTATCGATATCTATGTGTTAAAATAAATAAATAAGTGGTCAATCAACTATAAATACATCTCAGTCCTACAGAATGTCAGTTGCAGCCTGAATAGACCAGTGGTAACGTATCACACTATGATGCTGGATGACACAAGATCGAATTCATCAGATAGCATCAATTTTCTTAACGTTACAAGTACACCTTGTCAACGAGTGCTAAGAAAAAGCACAAAACCTAGGTTCAGAGTTTCTAATGAACTACCCTCCAACTACCAAATACCAGAACTCTTTCTTAATGTAAGAGAAGCAAATATAAATGCAATTATAAATGCTTGTACACTCAAATATAAATAAATAATCACAATATTAATATTCATTAATAATAATAATAATAATAATAATAATAGTAATAATTCAACATATAATCAGAGAATAACTCGAAGTTATTAAATAGAGAAATCAAAAAAGAAAAACAAAGTAAAGAGAGAAAATAAACTTGAAAATACAAACACCTCTTTATGGTTTATAATTATGCTGAATTTTTTCTAAAAGTTTAGATTTCCATAATTCTTCTGGTATTTGTGTAGCCCATGTAGGATATTGAGAGATTGGTAAATGAAAATTAGACATGTACATTTTAATTTTATCGGCTTCGTCTAGAAAATTTTTTTAAAAAAAACAAAAAAAACGAGAAAGAACACTTTATATACAAATGAAATATACCGTACGTAAGAAATAATATTAATAATGTGGAACATATTGATACAAGTAAGGAATAAAAGTATATACTTACCTCTTTTAAAACGATAGTATACTTACGTCACCTACGGTGAAGGCGAGATATCCATCTGTGAATCAAGCGAAGAGTATACTGAGCAGCAGTTCGTTCTGTTCTACTGTACAGCTGCGAAACGTGGCCAATAAGGATAGAGGATACTTGTTACTAGTATTTGGTCACAGATGCATTAGAAATATTGCCCGCGTCTGTTGGGATAACCGAGGAAGTAATAATAGTGAGGTTGGTCAGTATATGACATGGTGTCGTAGTATGAAAGAAAGCTGCAAAGGACTGGCTTGTGTTGGTCCTTCACGACTCCCTGGCCGGGGTCCGAGAGATGGTGTAACACAGTGGCTAGAAACGTTATCAGATTTGACTCAGAATAGAAGCCAGTGGCGATCCTGCAGTAAACTTTTTTTACTTTCTTCATAAAAAGTGGTTGTATCTTCCTTAACTGAAAGATTTCTTCCGATTGTACCTTTTCGTTTCCCCCATTATTATTATTGTTACACTAATCTGGTCGTTATTGTTCTCTTTTTTTTATAATTCCCTACGCTCCTTACCTCTTTTTCCCTTCTCTTTAAATTCTCATTGTTTTGTGTGGCGCATATATATTTGGTGCCTCCTTGTACCAATATTTATGTGTTCAAATAAATAAATAAATTTATTTATTTTATTTATTTATTTTAACACATAAGTATAGGTACAGGGAGGCACCAAATACATATGCGCCACACAAATCAAAATTGATTTGTGTGAGGGCTGTGATACTGCCCGGGTGCCCAAACCGAAGCAGGTGGTTGTCTTAGGGGGCCACACCCCGAGCCTTTGACCTGAACGTCTGACCCACAAGGCAGTGGAGCATCATAAGGAGATGCAGTCCCATGGTAGCCGGTGACCAAAAGTTGGTTCATACGCCATTTGTTCCCGCAGGATACTGTAGCCCATGTGCATCATTGGTTTGGGGTCCGGTTAAAGCGCCAGACATTCGCTTTTCGTCCTCTCATTTTTGTAAACAACACCCCCGCCACGAGAAGGCAGTGAGTAGGACTTCCCTGGTAGGGGCTATATACGCATGGCCATGTGAGAGCATTTCGAGAGGGAGAGAGGACTCTCCCTCCTCTCGGCCGTACCAGGGCATTTGGGGGCAAATAAATAAATAGTGAAGTTAGACGCAGGGTATTAGGGAATGGTGGTAAATCAATTGATAAAGTTGTGGATCTCCATCGATAAGGATGGTTGGATCACATACTACACATCCCAGCCACCAATTACCATGGCGCGCAATGCTAATTAGTGCTGGAAACGGATGGAAGTTAGGGGAGGCCAAACCAAAACGTGGCATCAGTTCATAAAGTCACGAACTTCTGGTCTGAGCCATGTCGGTAGATGCGGACAACTTGGTAGGGGGTCTGCACTACTATCTTAACCAATGGTTAGAGACTCTAGGTGACATGGCTCAGGACCGATCACAATGGCGTAGGTGTATATACACTCTTTATCTTCCTTTAAACAGTGAGGTTAAAAATTACCTTAGTTAATGACAAAATAGTTAGTTTATAAGACCAGTATGTGTAAGTAGTAACTATAAACTTTTTCACTTGAAAGCCTTTATTATTTTTGATGACTCAATGGGTTTCTTTCATTATTTACGGATTGGTTAGGACTCGAACACAGGTTAAAGAATCCAGTGGGTTTCTGTGATACTCTGTCAAACTTGTATTAGTGAATTCGAGAATAAATTTCCCGAAAGGTTGCGTGAACGTCTGAAACCTTTCTGAAAAACTCTCCGTTGAAATTATATGTATCCGAACTATCACTCTGTTAAATGTACTACACTGACCTACATAGAAATGGGGTCTAGGTTGCCGAAAACTGAACATAATGTTACACTGAGAGCATATGCATCATAAGATTTATCAAATGAATGCAGATAGTTCAAAGTATATGTTGATACCATTGCAAAGACATGTTTTGAGGATATGACTCTGAAAAGTATAGAACAGACAGAGTCGACAATCCCATTTCTAGAGTTTACCATTCAACTGTTCCAGTACACAACTCTAAATGCAAACACTGTTACTTAATCGGAAATTATGCAACGACCCAACTAAAATAGATGAAATTCATGCAAAAGTACAATTTGGAAAAAAAAATGGTTTGTATTTCTTGACGGAGATAGTTGTAGAATGAATGATTAAACCATTCGAATTCCAATCAACAAATTGAAGATATAAACCCTGTTTTATCTGCTTTGATCTAACTAGTTGAATAGTAGGATCACTAGAGATTACTTAAAAAAACTTGTTTCCAAGTTGAGTGTACACAAACCAGTACTTGATAAATGACTTAAATTAACGTTATTTTATTAAAAATGAAAAACAAAATCAGTTTTAGAGGTTATTTATAGTACAAAAAAAGATTAGAAGTGGGACATCAATATTGAATTGTCGTATATAATCGTATTTCAACCAGGAAAGGAAGGGGCTATTTAATTACCAAAGAAACATAAATGTCAGAGTGGATACGACGATTCACGATTGTAACTCACAGCGATCATCTCGAACAGACTTTAAAATTGAACCAATAAATAAAAGCAAACAAGTTATTTAAGTGTAACTCTATAGCAGGTAGATATCAAAAAAACAAAATTGATTGAATTGAGGATTAGTTAATGAGATTGGCTTAATTTTTAGGTTCTATTCGTGACAGGTTGAGATCCGTTGAAGTTGCTTCACTTGTGATTTACTTCAGGACGTTCCTGAAGCTATAGTTAGAATTTGAGACCAACGGAGGTCAAGTATCTAGGGACTAAAACAATTATCACCAGTAACACTGAATAAACGTTGCGATATATCACAGGCTGACTGAAGCTGGAAATGTACCATTGGACATTAACTAAGTGATTCAAATAGCTAAGCATTTGTCATGAGACACAAAGGCTTTGGGTTTTATGCCTTATGTGGTTGTGACGGCTTACTGTTACATAGTGAGACAAAGAAGCAGTTTAGCGTTTTCTAAGTTTTCAATGGTACCATCCACCATTGAGACCACCCGATGACGAATACAGACTAAAACTTGTCGATTGTTTAAGGTGAAGTCATTTGAAGGTATCACTAAAAATATAAAAACCACTGGAAAATTTGTTTTATCATTCTGATTAACGCACCTAACAACAATACAAATCCAAATCTTAATTTCAGTACGGCCTATAATCATCAATATGAGACTGTTGTAGAAATATCAAACTAATAATGATACAATTATCTTAGACGTATGTTCTGATTTTCAATGGATTCTCTATATTTGTTACCAGTTCATGATAAAAATAATGATAATGATTTAATAAAACCTAATTTTTAAAAAATCTTAAATTATTACTGACAAGATATAAGTACCACATGAAACATTCCATTACATAGTTGTAGAAATATCAGGAATAACAGGAAGATACAGTACATTCAACAGTTATCCATAAATCAAAACATTACAAAATCATTCATTATTCCTTATATAGAAATAAACCTTTATTAATCTCAATAATATAAGTCGATAAAAAAAGGTTAGGTATTTGTATTACAAGTTCAGTTTAAGTTAATTAACTTAGAATTACATATACGTAAATATATGCATTTATATGGGTAATAAGAGATATCAACTCATAACTATTCATAGTTGGTCAATTCATAAGCAACGTTGAATCTAGCAAAGATAGATATTCACCAAGTCAAGTAGACACAATTCACATCATCACAGATAGGTATAGTTATCAAGACAATTGCCAGAGTAGTAGAATTAGCAGCATTATGATAGTACATATAAGATATAGATAATATGATTCAAGAACAGAAAGTAAATATAAAGGATAAAAAGTATCAATATTTTAGAATAAAGAGTGAATGCATCTGAACCATTGATAACATCGAACACATGATAATTACGAGGACCCCAACCGAATAGTTTGTACCTGGCTACATGGTTCAGTCCGACAGTCAATCACTTCATTGATTAAAGTTGAATCTCGTATTGACTGCCCCTAACTTTCTTCTAATCTACTCCTCCACACTGACCATAATCGCGCGTCAAGAGGTGATTGAGAGTTGAAAATACTCAACACATGTTCCTACCACCTCAGCTGATAATGATTTGTAATTATTCTACGACTACAAATCTGATGGTCAAGTTATTAAACCACACAAATAATTTACTTTCAATATCACGCAGAACAATCATATTCACATATTATTGGCATGATGATAAACTTAGTGAATAAGAGCAGAAAACTAATAAGAAATGTGATAGGAGAGACAAACAGGGAGGAAGAGGACGGAATACAAAAGAAAACAGAATGACGAAAATTGAACAACACTGATCACATTTATAGCTTACCAGGAGTAATTGTAATTTGAGAAGTGGATGCCGGTGTATTCTGATTCCATAATTCTATATGAGATGAATCATCAATCGTATTAGTACACAAATTGGAAGCCTATATATATACAGATATCGAAAAAAATGAAGCAAAATAGAAAAGTATTGTGCAATTGAACTTTTAATTCATGAAAATATACTGAACTGTACGTTTATCAAGAAAGTGAATGATTAGACAGTCTATCTGTATTATATACTGTCAGCAGATAGAGTAACATTGAAAGCCAAGAAGCAATGAACTAGTCAATTAATGATCTTTAATTTGATTCATTGCAAATCGTTAATCCGACTCGGGATCATACCCCTATGATCTATCCGGAATGAAATGATAAACAAGTTTTGGGAAGAAATTTGAGTGCTGACTATTATAATGATCAATCATTCCAATGAAATCAGAAAACATAAACTTGATTTTTTGCAGTCATCTAAGTTTTGTTACTGATATATAATATATAAGCTTCTTATAAGTGTACATAAACCAGTTGATCGAGTGAAAACAGCCAAGAATGGTTAACCGAATCGAAAACATACGCATAAATCATTTATAACTATAAATACATGTGCCTCAGAAAATAAAGCCATATTTTAAACCAATAGCGTATGTCTGCTTTCTTGGGAAGTAAGTTCATAATCTTCACTAATACCATGTCATCATTAGCATCATTTTTTTATTATTTCGTCTACGTCCGATTGCCCCATAGCATTAATAAATCACTATATTTTAATTTCAGTGGTCGAATTTTACAACTCATTTATACTGTGAATGGTTATCGAATTGAAATGTAGTTTTATACATATTAGTTAGTAATATTAGCTGAAGTACGATACAGAGTAATTTAGAATATTTTTGTCTACTGTATTATTTATTATTAGTAACATGATAATTAAACGTCCCAGTAAGAGAGGGGTTTTGTGAATATTATAGTAATTTAATTGTTGATATCATGAGTCAATTGAAGCTAGACCACCATGGAGAACGTGGAAGCACTGAGCAGGACTGATAGGTCCTGGGTTCTAATCTCGCGAGGCGGGATCGTGGATGCGCATTGCTGAGGAGTCCAATACTAGGACGAAACGGCCATCCAGTGTTTCCAGGTTTTCCACGGTGGTCTAGCTTCAATTGACTCATGAATTCAACAATTGAAATAATTCGTGGGCTTTATGAATTTTGGTTGATTACTGATAATTACGGAGAATGTCTAATCAACATTTGTGATACATGCTGGAACGTATCTTTCACTGTTCAATTCAATAAACAATAATGAGTGAGATTTTCAGATGGTTAGTCAATATGAAAAAGGGACTCTCATTAGTGAATGGAACGCATTAACATGTAACCAATTAGTTGATAAGTATCGTTATAAATATTTCATTTATTTTGTCATCATATTGATTTGTGCAACCTGCTAAGTATGATGATTTAAACAAAACAAATGAAGTTTTACGGAAAATCCTCTTTCATAATTTAATTCTAGAATTCCCACTGGAACTGTTTCTATTTAGAGCCTCTTTTCCGCCACATATGTAAACAACACAAAGGCCCTAAAAATTTTCATCTTATTTTTCTCATTAGCAAATTAATGTTTACTCACATCTTGTGTTTCTATCAAGTTTGTAATCTTTGAGTTGGATAATAAGTACGTGCTACAGAGTTTTATATGAGTGAAAGGAGCCATACAGTTAAGTATAGATTATTGTTAGAATCAATTAAAGAAAGTATTTATAATGAGATTTATAAGCTGCTTCGGTTTGTGCGCCTAGGCAGTATTTTAGTCTTTACACAAATCGAAGGATATATCTAGTGCTTCCTTGTATCAATGTTTATGTGGTTAAATAAATAGACTGGTTAGTTAAGCAAAATTTATCACTGGGAAAATAGCCCAACTATTTTTATATTTTTTTTAATTTAAAACGTTTTATTAGCAATAAAAATATTTCCATGTGGTGAAAATTGTCATTCAGACATTTAGTAACCGAAATAAAAAGAAGGTGTAGATGACTGGTATATTTTATTATTATTAAACATCTGTATTAGTGTAGAGTCATAATGAAAAACTAATTGCAAAGAAACATTTCTTCGGTATATTCACTTTAAAAAAGTACAATTATTGTAGACGTTATCAAGGTTGACCTTAAACTTTGAGAGGTAATGAGAATGATCAACGGAGCAGATGTCGACAAACGGGTGATGGACAAGGAGGTAACAATGTTACTTTAGTAGAAGGAAAAACTGAGGGTGATCGTATTCAGAGCCCTAACATGGAGAGATGATGATGAGAATTGGGTGGTGGTAATCACGAGGGACTTGAGTTATAAAATGGTTCATGAGTATCACCAGGTATTTCCTACAACAAGGTGCGTACTAGTTAGGTATGAGAGACGACGTTGCACAATGCCAGCAATACTAACTAACAAAAAGTGACCGATACATACAAACGCCAATACAGTCAGTCCCAGTAACCGAAGTTGATGATTTATGGTCGGCAGGTGTAATGGGACCGTTTCCACAGACGGCGATCGGTAACCATTACCTACTAGTGATGACAGAACATGCGACATGTTGGGTAGACGTATAATGTATTTAAATGTAACGCAACTCATTAAAAAAGTACACATCAATCTACTCCGCCCTAATGTTCACTTTTTAAATGAGAAGAACTGATACTAGTCAAGTTTCTGAAATAAATGTTGGATTACATTTTGAAAATTAAATACATAAAATCTAAGTGTTTAGGATATTAAGCTATGAGTTGACTTCTGTTAAATATTAGAGAGAATATATCTCGAAATAACGACCAATTTTGTAATAAGACTGGAGTAAACATAACAATTCTACTAAGGTAAGGGTTACTGAAAATCATTGCTTCTATATCCTACTAATATACAATATATCACAAAGGCTTACTGTAAATGCTCCACGTGGTTCAAATTCAGTTCGACTCAAGTGACGATTCAGAAGATTATCTACATCAACTTGTAAATTGACTGGATCACTATTATGATCATTATTATTATTATTATCACCATTATAATTATTAAATCCAATTGATTGAAAATTTGATAAATGCTGACTGATTACATTGTTATTTTCAATTTCATCATTTTCACTATCTGACAAATCATTTATCTCACTATCATTATTATCATCAATGTTATCATCTGCCATATGTACAATTTCACTACCTAGTAGAGCATAACCAATAGGTATAACTGTTGAATCTATGATATCTTCATTATTTTCTATGCCTATATAATTATCATTATGATTATTACCAATTTCATCATTTGGATTTGGAGAAGATGGTTCACTAAATTTTTTCATTACCATAATTGTATATACACAATTCAATTTGTACCTCTAATAAATAGTTACATACATGTAAACAAATATCAACTGTAAAGAGAAAATGAAAACAAAACTCGATGAATTAACATTAAGCATAACATTGAACAACAAATTTAATTTGTAATAGATTTTCAATTGCTTTGTTGTTAACAATCCAAAAAATATACATGATAAATTGAATCAAAATTTATATTCATTACACAAGTGAGTGGTTGTTTGAAATCAGTAAGTGGATAACGCGCTAGGCATTTGAAACGAAAGTAAATGGGTTCGGATCCCAGAAGTTCATATAGATTTATTTAATTAAACACAAACATTGGTAGGAAGAGGCACCCAAATAGATATGCGTCACAAAAGCCATCGAATCAGTGTGCGAGCTGAGGTACTCAACACGTGTTTAGACTGGACCAAGTGGTTTCCTAAGGCGGTCACTTCCCAAGCATTTCATCCATAAGTCTAATCCACTAGGCGGTGGAGCAACGTTAAGAGATTCAGTCTCCATGAGCCCATGTGAACCATTTTTTTGGAATCAGGGTTTTCCGCACTCCAAGGTGAACTCTCTGTAGCTACCAACCCGGTTTAAGCACCAGATATTTCATTTTTATCCTTTCAATTTTGCAAACAGTTGGGGATGCTAAATCCCCAGAAATCACTTGGTAAACGTCTCATTTTTGTAGTTTTTATTTTGGAAATTTAAATTTCTCATTTTCGCACCAAAAGCGCCCATTTTTACCTTCAGATTGTATTTCCCACTTGGAAGGACCTTAAATGACACTGATCCGTTGCCTCTCTTAATACGCTACTGTGTTACGTTTCCCAAGGATATTTTTATGCTATATATATACGCTTGGGTTGTGTACTTATTCGTTCGTGGGATATACAATTCCCCCGGCTGAATTTGGTCTTTTCCATCTAGTTAGAAGTATTGGGGCGCATAAGCAAAACCCATGCCGAAAGACGGCAGTGAGTAGGACTTCCCTGGTAGTGACTATATACACGTGAACATATGAGAAATTCAAGAGGACTCTCCCCACCCACGATCGTACCAGGGCATTTGGGGGCTACCGAAAATGCAGAAAAACCCAGCAGACGATGTTCAACTAGGAAAAAAACATGCATCTAGTACTCCATTTCTAGTTACGTTTCATCTATTCTATATGTTTTTTTGAAAAACAATAACAGAAACAAATACACAAAAACGACAACAATGCATAAACACAACCGTAGTAACATCAAGAGAACAAAAATTACAGTGATAAAATACTTCTATTTTATAAAATCTACTAACATAAAAAAGGACTGTAAGAGTAGTAACAGTAGTACAATGTTAATTAACCATCAAAGATTAAAAACAAATCGAAATGATAATTGACAAGAAGTTATATATGTATAGATGTATAAGTTTTAATCTGACGGATTATTATCGGAGAACTGATAATTATTCCATATTTCATAAAATAATGGACGACAATTAACTACAGCTTTCAATTTACTACATAACAAAAAGCAACCAGACATTTTTCTATGTAACGAATAACTTTCTTCTGGTGGTGGACTTAATCTATGCTCAAGCATAACAGGAATTAAATGACTGATACGTTTAGTTGTTGATTGTTGACTAAAATCGAAATTTTTTTCTGAAGCAAATGCTTCACCCAATATACTGACTGCATTCACATGAGCTTGTTGTAAAACCTGTTGATTGAAAGTAGATGAGAATAATAAAATAAGCATGAGTGTATTCAACATGATATCCTACATAGATTTCCAGTAGAATACTAGTTAAAAAATCACTCAATTTAAAATCAATTAATAAATGAAATGAGGGTTGACCATTGACAATTAATAAGTCAGGATCACTGAGAACAATTTTCAAATATATCAACTAAGATCTTCAATCATTGTTTATGATTATCACGCAAATCCCCCAGTAGGAGATTTATACTTTTCAACATGACTCGATCGAACGCAGTCATTGGTTTAAAACCACTTCATGGTCTAGCTGCCAACTAAATGTTTTCCAAACTACTCCTATGATAGGCAATAATTAGATGTATTTAGATCATCCTAATAGACAGCTTACAATCTCACCGATAGGTTTATCATCTCTTTCTAGAACCTTACGTTTAATCTTAACACCATGCAATTTGTTGTTTCAGTTGAGCTGTGGAGACACTTATAGTCAAATACTAACAACCTACACACAAAGATAAAGTTCCACAGCCATTAATTAACACAGAATGAATTTCTGTACAGTTCAAATACTCTCTAATTGGTAGACGGACAGGCACAAAACATCAAGTGAGCTTGACATCAGCTCATCCAGGATACCAAAAACACGAACACAAAGACAAGGTATATGCATACAGAAAGGCTAGAAGAAAAAGATCCCAATAAATGAAGAGTTGATCTTTTGCCTTCTAATGTTTATCCTACTATATTTCCTTATGAGATGAAATAAAATTACACTGAATAGACATTGGTTTACATTTTGAGTTAGATTTAACAATGTCATCATTTACAAAATTATACAAACAGTCAGATTGAAAATAGAGCTACCGTAAATAGATACAAAATTATTAATTAAACAATATAAATTAGCTATTGAGTTTACAATCTACAATTGAATATATCACGGCAAAACGACCACTTAAACAACATTAGTTAGATTTTAGCTGATGATGTACCAGAAGTGTTTAGAAATTCACAACAGAACATCGGATTTTACTTCGAAGTTGAATCACGTGAAGAAATAAGAGTTTGTGCAGTGCACACATTGGAGAGGAGATTCTAGATAATTCAGTTTGAAATCTGTTGGAGTATAACAAATACATTTATTCTCTGATGTCCTTTTAAGCCCTAAGTACCAATTTATGGCAAGTCTGTTCTTGATCAATTATTCTCCCTTTAATGTTAAAGAATATTGTTACTTCGTACAGATAAGTCAATCAGACAGAAGGAACATGGAATCTGTCAGATATCTTCATTGGTTCAAGTCGCCACATCATATCAACATAGTCAAGTGAACTTATCAAGATGAATACCAAAAGTAATAATATATCAGTGGTAGTAAAAAAGACTATACATAGATAATGCAGGATCTGGAACATATCAGGTAAAAGAGAACAGCCAGAAGATATCGTAGACAAACATGTAATTATCCCGATTGATTGTAAGAAATTTGAACATCATCCAAACGCTCCACTTCTAAAAGATTTTCAGTCATTTAAATGATTGTATATCATACAAAAAGAAGAATTACTCCCTTCAAAAGTGAGAAACACAAACTAATGGTAAAAGATTAAATAAACTTTTGACATGTAAATGATATGTTTGTGTACTCGGATAGAAAAAACATTTTGAAAGATATAATTGGAAAAATAACAGTAAAAATTATAAAATTACTTTTGTTTCGTAACCAGTCAAAAAGCCTAAATCTTTCGATAGTTTAAGTATAGTTTCTTCATCATGTTCCGCTGAAGCATGAATTAGACGAATATACGTATCGACAAAAGATTTATCGTATTCTCTAGAAGCTCCAAAATCCAATAAAACAATCTGCAGAACAAATATTTAAAAATAATAATGGTAATTCAAGACGAAAAATCATACGTGACATGAATAAATGAATTTTCAAAAGCCTTAGTACAACTTCAGAAGAAAATCAGGATGAAACATTGTAAGTAAGTGATTTATAAACTGGACTTCTAACTACGATTTCTTATTTACTTTATCACCTGGCGGAGACTGACACCTTGACATGATGGTCGGGATTTCTTATCATAACGACCCAATTCAAATGTATTAGCTGGAAGACGTGTTCCTCTAGATCCTACAATGAAAGGTAAGTCGGTTAAAAAGTGATAAGACCAAAAGCAGCAACTTAAGGTCTGATGGTGAAGTCCTATTTCTGACTTTACTGTAGTGTAACGGCTCTTTCAACAACGGACAGAGGGACTCAGAAAAGGTCGGGCCTAAAATCACCATACCTTGTTTTGCTCCACGGGTTTCAGTCACCAGCGGTAAGAATTCATAGGTACGGCGCTAACGCATTTAAGACTACTCGAAAAAGACCGTGTGTGATTGGCTCTATGCAGTTGTCTCTTGGGCTCTACTCATTCTTCCAGTTTGTTCATTTCACTATTAATCCAGTTTACTTTAAAGGTCCTACCAAAAGAAGCATAACCCCACGGGGTAGGTGACGAGGAAGTAATCGTGCTCGAGATTATTTTTCCCACAGTTACATTCTCCCTTTACTTTCTAAACATTTTTTCTGTCGCTACTATCAATCCTCCGTCTCTATTTTCGACTTTTCCACTCGTGTCGCTAGTATTAATGGCTCGAGTTTACGAACTGTTATCCACTACATGTATCTCAACTTTCGACAGTTAAATAGTATCATTATGGCCATGAATAATTAACGTAGTGCCTGAGACCTGACGTACAACCATTTAATTATACGAATAAAATCGATCAGAAAACTCGTTACAATTTTAGTAGATGTTGGTTTAATCTAAAGAATAAATAAGCATAAACGTGTAATACCACCAGAATCAAGGATAGATTGTTTATATCTGTAATGAAATCATGCTGATAGTCACCTATCAACTGTCTATTGGATGGCTTTATTAGAAACGCGGATGTCACAACACAGGTCACTATTTATATGCACTAGCACAAAATAATGATGAGCTACAGAATAATAAATATCAGCACATCTGAAATGTTGGTTTAGGAATTAATCTACCAAATAGAGACGATAAACATAATGTACCAGGAACCATAGACTGGGGGCTAAGGGACATAAAAGGTTGATAATGCTTGTAAGTCGTTACAAACAGCAGAATAAATTTGGTAAATAAAGGTTTATCTTGGAGCAAGTAGTACTCATAGCGTAAGTATAGTAACCTATCGACACAATAGGTGACTTGGGCAATAATTTGATAACATAGGAACATAACAAAATTTAGTAACACAGAGAA